ACCCGCCGGGGGAAGCAGAGGAAGAGGAAGGCCTCCACTCCGTTGGAAGGTCCAAGTGGAGAAGGACCTGGCTTCACTTGGAATATGTAATTGGCGCCACTTAGCGAAAAGAAGAAACGACTGGCGCGCTGTTGGTAACTCGGCTATAATCGCGTAAGCGGTGTCTACGCCAATCAAGAAGAAGAAGAATGTGTAGACATCGAGTATGCTGAAACATACAAGCACCAAAGTCACAGCTAAAAAAGTAGCGTGTGCAATTTCCTTTGTTTTCTCGACATTCCTTCGTGATTTTATCTTTGTTCTTTATTAAAATAAATACACATAATTGGATTCCCCCAAAGGGATTCACCACTATACTATTACATACATAAATAAATACTTATATATATACATACTTATTTAAATATCTATACATATTCAGTTTGCTAGAGTTGTTGACAAACATATCTTTATATTAATAAATTATATTTTACTTGCTTGACAAAGTGTACATTTTTTCAAAATTTATTAAAATCCTACTAATTAGAATTTCTTTTTTTGTTTGTCCACTTATTTACCATTTCTAAAATATTTACTTTTATTTACAAAGTCAGAAGGCATGTCCAGTAAAAACACTTTCGTACTTAGGAGGTCAAGGCTAGCTCTCTTCAAAGCCTTTTATTTTTTTTTTGACACAGATGCCGTTTAAAAGATTTCTTAATTTGAAAATATTAGTTTTTGTACAGAACTTCCGCCATTTGGACGTTGCGTTCACGCCTTATGAAAACTTTGCATCGGTCACCTGATTGTTGGGCAGTTTTAAGACGTTTTGTTTTCGAGGGAACGGCCGACTGTCGTGGGAACGGCCTAAGACGTCTTCGTATTAACTGTCTCGCTGTAGTTTATTATTTACCTGAGAGTAACAACAAAGTTCTCTGATTGCATTCCATACAAGGCTCATTAAAAATGGTCTCTCTTTGATTATGTCAGTTGTTTGTTCGATTTGCCAATCTCAAAACTTGGGGTAATCGAAGACAGCCATTATCAACTGCCAAAAAAAGTCTCTAAAAATACTTATTTTCAAACATGATTGCAGATTGTTGTAAAATCATTTAGACGCTTTGTAAAAGTTGATTCGTGAGACAAGCCATTTTTGTGAAGTTATGCTATTTGATTAGTAGTTCCATAAGTACGCACATAAGAGTAAATATAAACAAAACATGTGTAAACTGAAATGTTTGAGCGGCAATAGTAGTAATTTCGGTTAACAGCTATAAAAGGTTCTAGGCACCAAAACAAAATTTCGTACACGCTTCGACAACAAATTTACGCAAGGTGGTACGAGTCATTCAAGGCAAAATGTGTTGAGGGCAATGTATTTGCAGTAAAAACACATATACTTATACAAACACATACACATGCCTATAGGGCAATAGTGGGGACGTGCAGAGTTACAACGTTGTCTTAAGTTGTTTTAAATCGACTTCTTGGCAGAAATTATTTCAATATGTATTTCACAAACACTTGCAATTTGTTAAATTATTGGCCGTGAGCTGTGACAGAGACACACTAAGAAGCTGTGAATCCATCAAGTGGAAATAAATTGAAATAAGAAAGCGAGGAACTGATAAATGAAGAAACAAATTTTCAAATTTAACGTAAGGTAGTATATATGCATGTATCTGAACGCGGCTTTTTAAAGTAATTTAAAAAAAAACCCTTTTTCCTGATTATGTACTCATGAGCTTATCGAAATATAAACATTTAGCAAAAATACAGTTTCTTGCGATTTTAATATAATAAACCATAAACTTGTCAAAATTCTCTAAGTGTTCGTATCAATGCCTACACCGTGATTTTGAAGTTATAACCTGCCGATGATTTTATTTTCAGTCGAATAAAATTGTTTCTGTTTCACCAAACTGAAATATTTTACAAATTCATTTATTCGAATCAAAAATCGTATTCGATTTATTAAAGATCGCTTTTACGGATTGGTCCTGAAAAAAGTTCTTTAATCTTTTTTTAACTTTAAGAATCTTTTTCATATATACATACGTTTTTACTCTAAAATTAGCTTTTATTGCTGTTATGTGTGTCTGGTCTTAATTTATAAATGTTACCCTCTAAACCAATTTGTGAGTTGGCGGAGTAATGAT